TGCACATCGATGTTGCAACTACCCAGAGATGGGAGGAAGATGAGTTTCCGCAGATTCCTCATATCAACGCAATGACCCCAAGTGGACTGAGCTTTTCGAATCGTGGTTTCGTGGACAGACAATGAATGATGTGTTGTCTTGGCAATTTGTTGATTGGCTAGGTGAATGGACGATGAGATGTCTGTTGCATTTGTTGGTGAACTGCAAGAAGAAGTGATGGAGGATGAACAGCAAATTGATGCCATCTGGGATGATGAAGATCGTGCGCAGCCAATCCAGTAGAACAGATGATCTCGGAAGAGACGCTGGTCGATGAGGTAGATATCCCAGGCCTGCCAGCCGACGAAGCCGAACGACGCCGAATGTGGCGCAAGCTGCCTGCGCGTGTGAGGATTGGTGTAAGAAGGTTGCATAGGCAATTTGGACACGTCTCAAAACAGACGATGATCCACCTTCTTCGTGCAGCAAAGGTCAGGAAGGAATTCATCGACGCTGTCAGGATCCACAGGTGCGAGACGTGTGAGGCAACATCACAGAAGAAGGCCACACGCAAAACAGCACTACCTAACAACTACTCGTTCAACCACACTGTAGGCATAGATGTGTTCGAGGTCCCTGACAAGTTTCAGGTGTTGAAAATGGTTTGCCTCGGCGCGACCTTTCAGCTGTGTGAGATTGTTCGTTTTGGAGCTGGTCAACCGTCTTCTGCAGAATGTTTAAGAGCCCTGAGGAAACGATGGTTATTTCATGGTGTGGACATCCTGTGAACATTGCCTGTGACAGAGGTCTACATAACCGAGGTGTCATGAAGAAGCACATGGATGAACATGGAATTCAAGTGTTCCACACTCCTCTGGAAAGCCCGGAGAATCTTGGTCGTGTAGAACGTCATGGAGGGATTGTCAAATCACTCTTCAGAAAGGTTTGCAAGGAGACAGGCGCTATTGGCAGAGAACAGGTTGAGCAGGTCCTGCTTGAGGTAGTAGCTACCAAGAACAATTCTAGCCGAGTCGGTTTTTCGCCGTGCCAATGGGTCCTTGGCAAAGGCCCCCGATCAGATCCGAGCCCTTTGTCGGAAGAACGGTTCGCCGAACTTGGAGCTATTGAAGCCCGCCACAATCCGGAGAGCATTTTAGCCTTGCAGCACATGGCCAGACAAGAAACCCAGAAGGCATTCGTGCATCTTGATTGTTCGGCAAAAGTATCTCGTGCGCTTACTCGCAACGCTGACAATGTTATGAAACCGATCATTACATATCATGAAGTCGGTGAATGAAAACAAAAATAAACCAAAACGTGGGCCGGTAACGAAGCCGACAACATATACATGTACAAAAAGACATTAAAGTGCGAATGCCTCCACGGTTGTGAAAATCCGTGTCACCAAAAAGAAACATGAAACCATCGAAAAATTCAACACGGACGATGAGTGTCAAAAAACAAGAGTTGTGGTTGTCAACGCTTGCCACACAGACACGGCTCCATTTAAAGTCTTGCGTGGTGGCTTTGTAGCGCACAGCAAGTCTCAATTTTAGATTTTCAAAGGAGTTTTAGCACTCAGAAGAGTTCCGCAACTATATGTATGCTTTTGCTTTTGGTTGAAGCTCGCTTTTTCATCGACATTGACGTGATCAGTCATGGAGTATTTGCTCAGCATTTGTGGCTGTTGCAAAGCCCTGCTGATCAAGTTTCCTTCGTACAACACCTTGGCTAGCAATTGTTTACGTCATTTTGATCTTTGATCTTACTGCAAAATCAACGTGCTGCAAATCAACCTGAAACAGTCATGAGACACTTATTGAGAGCAATAAACTCAAGAAGCGACAAATGTTTTATCGCGAACATGTCTTAACTCCAAAACGAGACCTTGACCAGCCAGAACTTGAGTTCAATCAAACCAATGATTCCAGTGTTCAAACTGTTTTACAATCAAGACAAATGCTTTCTTGACACACTTACCAAAAAATAGTAAACCGCACTTGCATTGCATTGCCGCTTGCAAAAACGATTTCTGCCAGAACTGCTCATCTGCAACATGGTCCACATTTCAGCATCAAAACGTCTTGGCAGGGCTGCGCCACGTGAATCGTGGCAGGCACTATGGAAGCGCAAGAGTTGACAGCACTGTTGGCGGTGAAGGATTAGACTTTTTGGTTTTCTGGAAGCTAATGGACTTTTGTTCCATGGCGGTCAGTTCCAATGATCTTTCTTGGATCAGTTTGAGTCCATTTGGCTTGAAGGCTCCGTGAAGGTAAGAGCAAAAAATCTCACAAGTGTCACAGTAGTTCAGAAATCGTTTTTTCCACGAAACCCACCCATCACTTGCGCAGCCAGCCTGTCCACGTTGGCAACCCCGGTTTTTCAAATTTGATTTTGTCCTTGACTCTGCTGCTTGCTCCTTGAGAAAGCCATGTGGAATGAACTTTCTGAAGCTGGACGTGCTTGCGCAATCGTACGTCTCATCTCAATGTTTCCGCTTTGCAAGTGTAGCTTTGCTTGTGACACGCAGCGATGAATAACAAAGAGCGACAATCCTGTCCAAGCACAGGTTGAATTGGAACTTTGAGCAGCTGCGCTGGAAGCGCCCGCAAGCTGCAGTCAGGTGTTGAATTGGCATTCTTCAGCCATGTGGACCTGAGCACGCTGACCATTTGCGCCTTTGGCTTCTCTGCTCATCCATTGAGAAAGAGTGCCAATTGCAGTTTGGATTGATGGGCTTTGCCGTGGCAGAGAGCCTTCGCTAACAGAAATGATTTGCAGCTGTGTTGAAGGATTTCACAGTTTTTTCGCTCTTTGACAAAAAGCTGAAAATTGTTGGCGACTTCGTTGCAAACTGTTTGCCAAATTCCACCAACATGGACCTTGTGGCAGATGTTTCACAGCCTCTTGGCGCCAAACATGTTGATGTAAGTATTTCAACACCAAGCAGCCACAATTACTTTACGTCGAGTGATCCCCACCGTGACATTTCAATCGGTCAGTTTTTCTGGCATGTAAAAACTGTTTTGCATTCTTTCTGGCATATCTTCTGACATTGTTTCCGGCATGTCTCCTGACATTCCATCTGGCATATCTTCTGACATTCATTCTGGCATTCTATCTGGCATATCTGCCAGATACATTCTTTCTGGCATCTCTTCTGACATCCATTCTGGCATTCTATCTGGCATATCTGCCGACATTCTTTCGGCAGGTCTCCTGACATTCCATCTTTCGCCATTCTCTTTGGCATGTCTTCTGACATTCTTGCTGGCATATCTTCTGACATTCTTTCTGATATTCTCTCTGGCATCTCTACTGACATTCATTCTGGCATTCTATCTGGCATATCTGCCATACCTGCTATTTTTTGCATATCTGCTGACATTCTTTCTGGCGCATCTTCTGACATTCTTTCTGGAATATTTTCTGACATTCTTTCTGGCGTATCTTTTGGCATTCTCTCTGGCATATCTTCTGACATTCTTTCTGGCATATCTTCTGACATTCTTTCTGATATTCTCTCTGGCATCTTTTCTGACATTCATTCTGGCACTCTATCCGGCATATCTTCTGACATTCTTCCTGGCGACTCTGGCAAATCTTTTTGCACTCTTTCTGACACTCTATCTGGCATGTCTCCTACGTATCTCCTGACATTGTTTCTGACACTCTATCTGGCGTTCTAGCTGGCATATCTCGTGGCTCGCGGTTGAGGTCCGGCGAGGACACTGCCAGCCCAAGCTCGCGCTTAAGGTCCGGCGCAGAACACTGGCAGTTGAGGTCCGGCGGGGAACGCTGCCCTTCGGAGCTGGTGGTTGAGGTCCGGCGGGGAACGCTGCCAGCGGGGAAAACCGTCGTCTGGAGCTGGCGGTTGAGGTCTGGCGGGAGGTCCGGCGGACACTGCTGTCCGACACTGGCGGTTGAGGAGGAGAGGGGAGGAGAGGAGAGGAGAGGAGAGGAGAGGAGAGGAGTGGAGTGGAGTGGAGTGGAGTGGAGAGGAGAGGAGGAGAGAGAAGAGGAGAGGAGTGGAGAGGAAATTGAACAGCTCAGAGTCTAGGTGAGTCAAGAGCTAGGAATGATTGACATTGCTATTACAGACTTCTCCGGTAAAAGTCAAAAGGAATGAAGTGGCGAGTCAATATATTTGTGAACGCTTGGACCATCAAACCCTTTTCCATGTCCAGCGCTGAACAGAATTCTGATGGATGAGGGGAACCTGTGCATATGGCAAATTAAAGCGAGAAGCCATATCAAAGAGAAACAAACAAACAGGAGGCTGCGGCAGCTTCTATTTGTGTTTTGAGTGAATTTTGTAACTCTTGTGGCTAGCAAAGATCCAGTCCGGGTCATATTTTACAAGCGTCAGTTCATGTTTCCTCGTTTTTGTGTCCCTTGTGAATGATTTTTTTCTTTTCGAGTTGTAGTCACATTTTCAGATTTGGCCGCCTAGCACAGAGCACGCTACCTCAAGTGTTCGGAAAATGAAAAATGCGGTGTTTTCTTGAGAAAATCCATGTCGATGAAATCAACCAGCGGATTGAGTGCGTTGTCAATGATGTTGTCACGCCTGTCATTCATGTTTTTTTGGCATTAAAAACACTGCATTACTTTTTGTGAAAAAAACGCACTTGTTTTGTGGGGAGTCATTGGGAGTCAACTATCGTAACTATCGTTCTCGGCACCTGCCAGGTCTTTCGTTTTTATGTGTGCTTGCGGGGTCAAGGCTTTCCACAACTCCACAAAGTTTCAATTCCGGATTGCTTTCCTTGTAAAGGAGAGGCTGAATGGTTTGCAAGGGGTATGTTTTTCGTCACGCCTGTTACCGTTTCATTCAATATGGGCTCCAGACACAGAATTTTTGAAAGCCAAAAGGCCATTGTGAGCAAGACGAGTGTTTGTACGCCTCCAAAAAGCCATGTTGTTGCAGTGCTCGCCATCCACTTTCCATCCTTTTCCGGGTAAGTGAGCCTGTATGCCTTCAAACCCTGAAAACCACGTGGAGTCTGTGGAATGTCCAATGGGCATCTTCAGGCCGTTTCAAGCGTTTCAAGCGTTTCATTCGGAACATCCATGTGTTGTGCGTTTCATTCGGAACATGTCATGCAAACCCGTTTCCAGGCAGTGGATGGGTTGAATCACGATATCCAACACATTTCGCTCCTCACCTGAGGGTTTCAATCAACATGGTATGAACCTCAGAGTATTTTGGGACCAAACGATCTTGTTTTTAACCTACAAGATGTGAATACGATGTCTCAACTTCCCAACCTGGTGAAAAACATATGCCGGAGTTTGTTTGTTCTAATGCTAGCAGCTAGCAATGAGACATATGTGTGGGCGTGCAGGGCATTTAAAGCGTGAAAAACACGATCTTGCAACTATGCCACGATGCTTGGGCACCGTCTGGATGGCCGTGCTGGTTCTTGCAGCTGCGTCTCATTTTCTTGCTTTCGTGCAGCTGGTCTCCGCTTCGGTCAGAATTGGCGAAGTGATGGGACAGTGATTGGGACAATTATGTGATGACAGAGCGGTTGAATGCAATTTTCAATGTTTAGTTTTGCTCTACTCTATTGCAGATGAACCTTTTAGGTCGTAGGGAAATTAAGGTGAGAAAACTCTTTGCAAAACAATTCTTTCGGAGCATTAGTTGGAACCCCAGCCCTTCTACGTTCAGGACCCGACAGCGGAACTCAGTATGTGGTTGTCATTCGGTGGCGTCTTTGCAGCTCGTAATGCTTTGGGAAATTAAAAGCCAATCCAAAAATCCAACAGGTCAGGACCCATAGCCAAACCATTGCTCCCCTCTCACAATCCCAAGCAGTTCGACGTTCCGAGGCCGCTGGCAACACCGTCTCGTCCCCGTGTGGCGCGTGTGGCGCGTGCGGACGGGCCGGTGGGACTGAGAAGCGCAGAGCACAGTGGGGAGCTCACCCAGCGCAAACAGAGGCCCGTCATAGCAGTGCTGGTGGCCATGATGTTGAGCCACCTGGATGGAACAGAGGGCTCTGAATTTCGGAGCCCCGGGGGCGCGGTTTGGGTGATGGAGGAGAGATTGAGTTTTCCAGCTCTTCATTAGAGATAGTTTTCAAGTCTTGATTGATAAGAGTCGGAAAAGCAAGTGCCAAGCAGCCCTAGGATCTTTTTAGAAACTCAGAAATTGTAGCAAGACGCTCTCGAGCAGCAATCGCCCCTTCAAGATTCTGCAACAGTTGGTATTGCGGAAACCCTATCCATCACTTCATCACCCTGCTTTTCTTGGGCCGCCCTTGGATGGCACCTAGTGATGCGTGGATGGTTTCGATCCAGGCTTTAGCTTGGCAGCTGCGGCGCTAGCTCCGCCAGACCCCACGGTGGAGGCTGCCTGGGGTTTTGTTCGAAGCATCTTGGCCGATCTGAGCAAAGCAAAGCCCAGCAAGGCTCGGCAAAGCCTTGAAGATCCCTTGAATCTCCCGCTGTTTCACCTGGAACTGCTCAATGAATTTAGGGAGAACTGCAAAGATTTGAGTGTGGTGGTTGCATGCTGTAGATGTCTGGCCTGTTTTGATTTGCTTGTGTAAACGCGCAAGAGGTGCCGTGAAAGAGGTGTGTTTGGGGAGCTGATCAACAATGCATTTACCCTTCCTAGATGATTTTATTCTTCCTTTACAGGTGGCCTCTCCTGCGCGAGTGGATGCTAAGAAGCATCACAAGGCTGTCTTTCTCCTGTGTTCTGACAGTGTGGTGAGGAAACTACTACGACCAGACTTTCAACAAGCAAGACTGGAACGCCCTCCACGAGCGATTTCTTCGACGGGTCGACCAAGGTGAACGTGCTTTTGCCGTGAAAAAATGTTGAGTCGAAGAGGTTTCTTCAGCGGAACATGGATGGAGTTTGATGGTCCCACAGTGGAAAGGGGTTGTAACTTTGGAGTGGTATGCGCGATTTCATCCTTCGTTGAAACGAACAACGACAAACAGCTAGTGGGGGCTGGCCAATTTCTAGGATTTCTGTGATCCTAGGCTCCTAGAGTCGTAGGGTATTTGCTTCCAAGAGCTGCTCTGCGCTCCCCTCACAGCCAATCTCTGGTGCAGATGTCTTGGTCCTCTCCAGATTCTCCACAGCGAGACAGCGCCCAGAATGCGCGAAACACAACAAACATCTCTTCATGTGGATGAAATGTAAGAATAGACAGGAACGGCAAGGGGCCCATGACAGAATAGATGTGAGTCCCTCAGGGATGTGAGTCGGATCAGATCGTTGGCTTTTCGAACTCCCGAACTCCGAAATCGCCGAGGGTTGACCCCACTTGAGGTGCTGAGAGCGTGGTCCGCGAGATGGTGCAGTCTTTGGGTGATCGCTACAGATTCTCGGCGCCCAGATGGCGAGATGTGAGCAAAGATGGAGAGATGCAAGTCACGAGGAAAGGGTGTGTGGCTTCCTTTGAAGTTTGCTTGTTGCTTCGATCCGGGTTTCGTGGAAGTAAACCGTGAACTCTTGGTTTTCGGATGGGGACGGTTTCCTGAAGAATCTGGCTCCAGAAGTGCTGCTGGCTCCAGTGGTGTCACTCGATACTTAGCGTCCGAGACGTCTTCGGACGTCTTCGGGTCTGAGTCATACAAGTCCCATCGAGACCAAGGGCTCTGCCAAGGGCCCTGCTTCCACGACTGTCGGTCTTGCGGGGCAGTGGACAGTTGGTAGGGATATTACACACAATTATGCAAATAATATATGTATACTTATGAGGTCCTGAACATGAATACTGTTGCGTTTGAAATATGTCGTGAAACCTTGAAGCAACCAACTGTTACCGCGTGTTCTTTTTTCGCCCACCACACGGGGCGAACGTTCTCCTCGCAGGTCGTGTGATCGACGCTGCCACCTTCGAACAGCTCATGGCCTTTGATCCGATGGGCGTTGGACTCGTTTTGGCGAGGAATGACCAGAAAGAGGCGGGACGGCTTGACGACTTGAGTCGTCGGATGGAGGTGTTTGGGAGGGGGGGGGGGGGAGGTTCCCAGGGAGAGGTTCTTCTTTTGGATCATTTTGAAACCGGGCTCGCCACATCGGTGTCATGGTGACGATGAGTGCGTGGCTTTCTCCCACAGCAAGCTGACCGATGAGTGGTGTTAAAAGGGCAGGGCTTTTCTTCCACGGTCGAAACACGAAAGGCAGGTCCATGGCGTTCCGGTGTTCACGTTTGCGCTCCGGTGTTCCGCGTTCTCGCACCTGGAGCATGTTCCGCACCTCGAGGAACATCTTTCAACTCGGTCTGGTTGCTATGCAGATGTTACTTTGGGGGAGTGGTGGCAACAGAAGGTGGGAAAGAAGTGCACATCACGTCTGATGGCAGCTTGACCCCATGGTTCAATGGAAGCCGTTAAACAAAAAGTCGGAGGCCGAATCACACAAGTGGCAGTCAGTCCAGATAGGGATCAAGAAAAGTTGTCTTGCAGGTGGACATGAATCCATTCTTCTCATTCGGCCTTGAATTGTTTTTGAGCCATTAGTCTCCACACAACTTCCAATAAATCCAATGTCCAGAAAGCAATAAATCTGGAGCCTCAGGAGAGGAGTTTTGATGTTCTCATTGTGCTGATGGGCAGAAATCAGCTGTATTTTGAGGTTACTTGAGGACAAACATGGAGCAGTTCTGTATCATTTCGGGGACCATGGTACTTTGATGATCCATAAAGGTTGAAGATGTGAGTGAAGCCCTGAACACCCGGCCCTGAACATGAGCGACAGATTGAATCTTTGGTTCAGGGGACGATACAACCATCCCTTCCGAAGAAATTGAATAAACGAAATTGGTGAACTTCCTTCACCGCGTCCACGGTGCTTCCCAAGTCGCTCTCCACGGTGAGGTCATCATTAGCTCTCCACCCTTTGCGGGCTCTTCGGCGGCCAAGGCAGGCAAGCGGGGTGATGGTGATGCTGAGATTTTGGGCCTGCGGCGCTGTTCACGGGGCGCAAAGCATAGCTTTTTAAGTTTTCAAGCAGAGAACAAGAGGATCTTATAGCTTTACGATACATTCTTCAAAGAGGGACTTCACTTTCGCTGTTACTACAGTTACGACTTACCATACAGTTTCTGCAGCTTCATGATTTGTTGTTCTTCCGGAATACCACAGCAAGTGTGCCCTTCTTTGACCCCTCGGATCCCCGAATTCGACAGTGGACATGCCAAGCTCCTTTTCCTCCATGGGGATCAGTTCCAGGTGATCTTGTACCTGGAGCCTGAGTGACCCCTGTTTTGGAGGATCAACTATCCCAAATATGGTCTTTCCTATCAAAACAGAGGTCAGTCAGGCTCTAGATATATATAATGTGTTGTGTGTTTCAAAGTAGCACATCACCACAGCAAGGTTTCGTCTCAATTTCTTCCAAAGGCTCCCGGTGAGGAAGAGAAACCCGGCGACAGACAGAAATCGCCTGGAACGAGAAATCGGCTCCCAGGCGGGTCTCCGGCAGGGGCAGCGGGTGGAGAAAGTGGACGACATGAGCTTCAAGGAGCAACTCGGGAGCAGAGAGAACTTCTTGGCCCCCCAAGAGTAGATGACATCTTGGCCCCCCAAGATGTCTGAGACAGATGGTGGCTCCTAAAAGTAAACATCCTTTTTTCATGCCCAGTTTGGGGGGGGAGATTATTCAAAGTAAAGCTTATGTGGGTTTGACTCCAGCCAGGCAGCCAGCCAGCCAGCCTTGCTGCATTGAATGCAGTGTGACAGACACCTCCCGATCATTCACAAAGACTGCCACAAGCTTTGCCACGATCCCTTGCAACCCAAGGACCTAGGAGGCCTGGCCGTCTGACCCCCCCCTCGCGGTCGCGGACCCAAGGCTGTCCCTCCTGGCCGTCGCGGACCGCGTCAGCACGCGGGACCCGCCCAGCGTGACGCTCACACTGCGTGAGGGCGAGGGCGAGACGAGGGAGGCCGAACCCCCTCGGGGCCGGGGTGAGGAGAGCGGTGTGGAGAGCGTCTTTTAGGACGAAAAGGGAACTGGTGGGAACTGGTGTAGGCAAAAGCATCTTGAACGGGAAGTGAGTCCGAGTGTCCGAGTGGCAATGCGTTAGCAGCTCAGGTCCTGAGCTGCCCCGGCGTTGAAACACCTGTGCGACTCCCTTCATGTGTGGGACTGTTGATGAACACAGTGCTTCCCCACCACAAAAGCGCGGGGACAGTGTGGCTATTCCTAGAGTCTAGAGTATTTGAGGTAATGTAGCATTTCGTCCATTCCTGCATGGTGCCGTGCATGATAATTGAATTATATTGTAGACTTCATCGGCGCGAGATGATACGCAGAGAAGTTTGAACTCATTTGAAGGATTACAACCAAGAGGAAGCCAAAACATCATCACAGTAGGCACCATGCACACAGTGACCTCCCCACATTGCCCAACTATTGCCATGAAGCAAAGAAGTCTGATTTTTTGTTTCCCTTAAACATCTAGGAACGACAAGAACAGTGCGAGCGCACCGGGGGTGCCCTCAGGCAGGGGGAGCTTCATTGAAGAAGCGCGAGTTATCCCGCGTCTTACCTAGCTTACCTCCTTACTTAATTAAGCAGGCGGGCTTAAAGACTTGTCTTAAATGCAGGCTCTTTGGTGCATTTCCAGCTCTTTGGTGCAGTCACTTGTTCGATGGCTGCAGGCTGATAGTGGATGCTGTATATAGTTCTTGTCCACCTCAGGGTTTAGTGAGCGTCAGAATTCAGATGTCTCAGCAAAGAGCGCTGCTGTCAGGTGGTTCTTGAACGCCTCAGACAAGCAAAGCCACAGAACCAGGCAGGTCTTTTCTTCCTGTCGGTGTTGTTGGGTGTCATTTTGGTGCCACCTGAAGCGCCATGGGGCAATGAGTAGTTGGACATGAAGGTTTGAGGTTTCGTGGCGACTTCGGAGGGTTTTGGGTTCGGGGTTTGTTTCAGCGAAGAGTGCAGGATGGGGCCTTTGTTTCATTTTCTGCGTGCAAAAAACCGTTCCAAGCTCTGGCGTCGCCCGCAGACGGGAGAATGCACAGAGAGACTTGGTGGAACCCAGGGGATGTTCACCGGTTATAGTTATACCGCAAACCCACCTGCATTCCTCAAACGCCGAGGTGACGGACCCATCTCTACTGTGCTGAGAGGTGGTTTCTTTGACCCCTATTCTTTGGCACACATGTGGACATCATCATTTTTGGACTGATTTTGGTCGGTTTAGGTGGTGTTCTTTGGACCCTCCAGCCCGGGCTGGAGGTCGTTGACCGATCCATTCCCATCTGTCGTTTTCCTACGACACAGCTCGTCACCAAGGGTCGCTGGCCAGGTCGAGTCGGGCATCGTCACCAATGCTTTAGGCCACAAAGTGGGGTCCCTTGGCAGAACACTCAGGGGTGGGCAGAAATGGGCGGGCCGGGTCCATGGGGGCGAGGTCCGTGAAACACTTCGTGAATGTTTAAAGTTCAAGGTGATAAATGAGTCTGAGTCCCCCTTGGGCCATGTGTCACTTGATTCTGAATCGAATTGGTCAGTTTTTGCCAAAGTCAAGAGCCTTGATTTTCGATGAGTGGCATAAACTCAGGGTTGATTTGGGTGACTCTTGTACCTGCACCCTAAGAGTGCAGAAATCATGAAAAGGGTCCATGGTGAATGAGGGAGTTGTACCATGCGACACCATCCCTTGATGTTCTCATCAATACAGGAAAACCATACTGGATACCTATTCACCACCTAGTAGCTTCTTGTTCCTAGTAGTACGGCCAGTGAAACCACACCACAGTCCCTCATCGCTCCTCGCCCTCAGCTTCTTGCGGCTGCGGACCGTGGGCGCGCGCTCGGCGCTGGAGATGCAGGAGGCTCTGGGGCGACTGCGGGCCGAAGGTGCTCAAGAGTGGGTCATTGCCGCTCGGTGACAGGTCTGGGCTGTGTCTGGGCTCGGTGGGACTGACTGATGTTCAGAGCGACTGACACACGAAAAAAACACAGATGCATACAATAAACGTGTTGCAGTTGTGTGGATTACCAACTGCCAAAACGATATATTGTGTGTGTATATATATATATACACGTGTATATATGTATAGATACAGTACTGGAGATGAGACACGAATCCCCCAAGACGCCGAAGCTGGACATGACTGGTGGCTGTGAGTGAGCGGTCAGGGTCCGAGCGAAAACAATGACGTCAAGTACCTTCAACCGGTGATCAAGTACCTTTTCATCCACCAAGACAACCTTGGGATCCGCAAGACTGCCTTTCTTTTGCCCAGGATTTGCGAGGGAATGGAGGCATGGCCGGCACGCTAGTTGTTTTTCAGGATGTGTGGGGGTAGTAAGCGTGGGGGTGGTAGTAGTAGTAGTAGTAGTAGTAGTAGTAGTAGTAGTAGTAGCAGTAGTAGTAGTAGTAGTAGTGGTAGTGGTAGTGGTAGTGGTAGTCGTAGTAGTAGTAGTAGTAGTAGTAGTAGTAGTAGTAGTAGTAGTAGTAGGAGCAGTAGCAGTAATGGTAGAGTAGTAAACGAAACTGCCAGATCCAAGATCCAACCCCAGGTCACAGTCTGAAAAGTCGAACTGCTCGGCTTGGAGCAGGTGCAGGTGCCACATTCTTTGGGGTACTTAGGGCATACTTAACTCCAAGATGGGCTCTCATAGGCCGATAGGCCAGCAACAACCATGAGGAAGTGAATCAGTCTATGCTGACTTAAAGGAGTCGGATGTGAGATTGGGGTCAATCATTCTGCACCAGAGATTTAGAATGTGGTCAACCACAAGTAGCAAAGATGAGACCATGTCGAAAACAACTAGGACCATGAGATCATTTTGTGGATATCCGCTTTTCTCCGCATGGCTCCAGTCCCTGGCCTCACTTGCCTCACCAGGTGGCTCCTTCCCTGCAGCTCTGGAGGCGGCTGAGCTCTTCTTGCCGAAGGGAGCCACCGCTGCTCAGGTCGGGCGAGCCTTGGGGTGGGGGTCGTTGGAAAGACGCCATGAACACTTTGCGAGGAAGCGCACTTGTTAGACTTTGTGCTCCTTTTGATTATGGCTCAAAGACGGGCATGGTAGGGAAGAAGTGTCCAAGAAGTCAAGTGCTTCCCAAAAGCTGCCCACGGCCTGTTCACCAGAAACTTTATTTCTTTAGGGGGCCACCGGCTACTCTAGTGAACATGCTTGGGTCTTTTGAAAGGCAGTTTCTCACAATAAAGGCACTGGTGTGCAAAACACAAGGGTCTTCTGCATAGTCATCCTTGGAGAGCAAAAGTCTCAATCAATTGCAGGGTTACGATACAGATAGAGTGTGGTATGCTTTCTACTAGTAACAAGAAGTTACTAGTCTTTCCTGGCCTTACTACTAGGAGCAAGGACACTACTAGGGGCTCCTGGCATCGCTACTAGGAGCAAGGACGCTACTAGAGAAATTCCTCAAACCGTGACCGAAAGAACCAGGTGAAGCTGCCGAGCGTTGACAAGGAGAAGCCGATCTTGGTGGGAGAAGAAGGTCCATCGGCTCGCCCCCGCACCGCGACGGATCGCTTCCCACCGTGGATCGTTGTGGCAAACGATCATGGGCTGCCAAGGTGTGCTTGGACCAAGCAGGAGGTTATGCTGGGATTGGTGGGCAAATGCAATCCATTTGGGACACGAGCTCCTTTTGTGTCCTGGACGGGTGTGAAACGATCTTCGTGGGCCGGGCCCCGAAGTGTGGCCACATCTTGTAACTTCCTTCAAGAGTCTTTCATGTTTTGTGGGCTTGAAGGTGCTGGCTTGGTTGGACCTCCTGCAGGACTTCTTTCTTCGATTGAGAAGAACTAGGACTACTAAACCCTCCAAATGAAAGAGTAAAACATGTGGCCGGATTCTGGGTTCTCCTGCTGTTGATCCCTGCTCTTCTTCCCGACCCAGTCTGCGCCCGGCTCCGAGGCGAGCGCCAGGAGCGCGTGGGCTCCGCTACGGAGCCTGTCGCCGTGCTGGTGGACGCCGGCAGCGCAAGCGCCAGCGAGGCACCGGATGTCACTCCGCCCGTGTGGTTTCCGCCCGTGGGCCAGGTTCCTTTTGTAAAGAAGAGGTCCCAAGTAGAACCGCGGATTCTTTTCTTTTGGCAAGTGTTTGATGTATTCACTTGCTGTTTTGCTGGAGATTTCTGCGAGTGGTCTATTTTGATGACTTCTCAATGGGGTAAATCGCTGGGGCCAAGCGGAAACTTGCGATTCCTTTCTTACCCATCCCAAGTGCCACCGGACTTTGTCCTTCAGTAGTCATGAGTGGCCCGCCTCAACCCCCGGGGTATGACCTGTTCAATTCTGTTCCACTTACAAGGACTTCAGAAACATTGGAGTTGTTACAGCCAGCCACCTACTAGGTTGCTTCGCATGTCTGTCATAGCTAGCTAGTTTTCCACTAGTCTTCCACCTCCTCTTCCACCTGCTCATTCCCCAGCTTCGACCCGGCTCAGCGCCCGCTGTCCGCCGGTCCGTCTCCGGTCCTTCCGTCCGCGGCAGGTCCTGGCCGTGGCCCTGCGCGGCAACTGCCGTGCGCCGCTCATCGGCAGCCGGACCTACGGCAAGGCGGCCGTCCAAGGTGCCGGTCCCCGGGTCCGGGAGGCGACCCCCAAAACACATGGCACGAGAAGGAACGAACGAACGAAACGTGAGACCGGGGGGCCTGGAGGGGGTTTCTGAGGCCTTTTTCTCTTTGGGGATTTCATGTTTCCCCTTGGCGGTGGCAGAGTTGTCCCTTGGGTCGATGCAGAGCGAAGCAGCGCGGATGGCGGGCCATGCGACGCGCGGATGGTCGTAGTAGTAGTAGTAGTAGCTGTCCATGGAATTCTTGACAAGAACCGTTTGGACACCATTCTTGATGAAGCCCCCAAGCAGACTCTTGCAAACATTGAGCCGGAGTGTTGGAGGACGGAGTTGCACCCTTACAACCCTTACAACATGCAGCCTTTTGTTCTGGCCACCCTTCTTGGGGTACAACATCCTTCTGGCCAAATATGACGTCAACATTGCGACAAAAGCTGGTTTTCTGGGTCCGTTCTACAGTAGATATTCATTGAATTGCGCCAGTTCCATGTTCCATGCGTGTATCTCGAGTCCCCTCATTTTGCCTCTCCCCACCAGCCGAGCTGTCATGATCCGCTGCTGTGACACATGTGACTGGTAGGTGTCTTTGGCTTGCCCAACAAGGTGGAGTTTTTGTCCGTTTTTCCGCACCGACGACTTGGGACAATGCGGCTGTTCGTTCTTTAAGACGGTGTTCGTTTGAAGGTGAGAATAGAGGAAGTTTGTTGCCTAGATCACTCAGCCTGACTAGCTGCCTGTGCGAGCTTGAATTCATTGGAATGTTGCATTGAATCTAGAGCTCTCAATTGAGACCTGTAAGCCTAACGCATACCGCATACCTATGCTGTTACGAGTGGATTTTGGGGCCCGTCCGAGTTCAAGACACACCTGAATCGGGGAGTGCTACGCAATCTCTTGCACTGCAAGAAGAGTTCACGTGAGGGGAGTATTGGACCATCCCTTGTTTGGGGTACAGTGGCATAGACTTTTCCAATCTTAGATAGGTAGATAAATGATCTCATTGACTCCATAGTCCATGGTATAGTCCATGGGGTCTTAAATCTAGACCTTAGTACAGTGGTGAGGGTCATGGGGTCACCAAATCTTAGGCCTTTTGACTTGGAGAAAGGGGAAAAGGGCCAACGCATACTCTCCTCTTTCTCTAAATCCTGAACCTTAAGATAACAACATATCAAAGCAATATACAGTATGTACATCTATATATACATTTGGTAGTGTAGTATTATGCTACACTGTGCTATTAAACTATATATATATAATATAGTGTATTATATTATACGATATGTTATTACTACTTACACAGTATTACACTCGTTTTAATGCTGGATTTGGTCAGACTTCCACCCACTTCACCGACAGCCGCAGGAGGCGGTGGCCCTCACCGTGGCGCGCTACTCCGGGCCTCATGGGGAGCGCATCGAAGGTGCGGGCGATGCTCCAGCGGCCGAAGGGGGAGCATGTGCACGCGGCAATTGGACGCGGAAATCGTCCATATTAGGGGAGGTGGTGTTTTGGTCTCCGCGGGGTTTTGAAGGTTGGGATGAAAGGGTTTCAGGGTTGGAAGGGAAGGTGCTAAAGATTCTTGAGAGGCTCAACGGATATCATGGGGATGCATATGAAGACTTTCAGATCAACTGAGAGATAGTGCTGCATAATTTTCTGCAGCATGCAAAATTCGCCGACTCTGGATCAAAAGCTAAAAGATATATTCCGGGGAGAGGCGTGAAAGTGAACGGAGCAGTTGCTGTAGACCCAAATTTTGTTGTGAATGCTGGTCAAGTGATTGAAGGGACATACAATTGTATATCATTGCAAGTGATGATGCGCTTTGTGTGTTCTTTAAGTGTGCTAGGCCGCTAGGCCTCTTGCTGATAGGGAGTTGTAGTTCCGAATGGCATAGGACCACAGACGCAACTACCACAACCAGAACGTGCCATTCAGAAGCAGTTTTCTTGCGCTTTCCCGTGGCTGGAAAACTGTTCAATGATCTTATTGCAAGACTACTATGGAATCAGAAAGCCACTGGATTGTAGCAAAACAGCCTTCCAGAGCTTTTGTTTCTTACACAGACTTTATGCTGGTTGCTGCTAGTTTTGGGATCTAGGTTCCTCAATATTCCTGTAAAAATTGAGCTCTGTTGTTGATGTGTGAAGGTTGAACCTTAGTTGAACAGATAGCATTCGTTCCCAGATATTCCCATTTTTCGACTTGCCAAACGTTGGGAGAGAATACCATGTCCCACAATGTATCCAAATGCCTGAAACCATCTGAAATGTAACAATTGTCCTCAATTTGTTGGATCTGCATTTAGATTTAGACCATCTGAAATCCACCATTGTTAGCATTGTTGTTTTTCCCTGAAGTGCAATCCACGTCGGAGTCCTCACTCTGCTTGGGACGAGCCACGTTTCTTGTACGTCTCGAAGCTTTCAGCTGGTGCCAGCTAAGCTCTTCACAGGCGCTTTTCGCGGAAACCAACCCCGGGTCTCGGTCCAAGGCTTAGGCCTCCAGGCTTACCGTCCAATGAGTCTCCGATGTTTTTCCTTCGGTGACGGGTGTTCCGAGACGGTTTTGGACCGGTGAAACCGGGTCCCGGGTCTCGAGTCTCGTCTCCAGGTGGCTTGGAGCCTGACCTCTCCTCCGGCCTTAGCTTGGGGGGCCTCTCGCCGCAAGGGCTGATGTCGGCGCTGGGCGCCCCGCAGCTCAGCGCATAGTACGAAGGACAAGAAGGACGAGAAGGGACGAGCAGGACGCCTGCCAGTGGGGCTGAGAGTTTATTTGTTACTGTAGTAGTAGTTGTTATTAGTCTTATTATCATTACTTTTACTATTACTATTATTATATGTAATCAAAGGAAGTTTAGTGTTCAAAACTTCCGTGTTACGGACATTCAAAAGCTCTAGCTCTAGTTAGCTCTAGTTCCAGTCAGCTCTTCAACATGCATTTTGGAAGGAAGTCTCGTACAAAATGCTTTTTCAACAGCTCTAGCTCTAGTTAGCTCTAGTTCCAGTTAGCTCTTCAACATGCATTTTGGAAGGAAGTCTCGCAGAATGGCTTCGTTTTGCAGGTGTTCAACATGCACTTTGGAAGGAAGTCTCGTACCAAAATGAGTTTTCGAGAGATAGCGAACGCACGAAATGCTGTGTTTTTCAATACCTTCGCGTCACTCTCGGATCGTGCTCGGATCGGTCTCGAATCGTCCCTCCATGGTAACTAGAGTTTTCACTTGTTTCTTGTGTACAGACTTCGTGACAGGCACAGCACTCTGTGACCCTCGATGTGCAGATTTCGTGGCAGGTGCAGCACTCTGTGACCCTCGAAGTGCAGATTTCGCGGCAGGCACAGCACTTTGTGAACCTCGAAGTGTAGATTTCGTGGCAGGTGCAGCACTTGGTGAACCTCGAAGTGCAGATT